CCCCTGCCTCCAAAAAGAGCGCCGTGTTTTTTCCTACCTCGCTGCCCTCCACTTTCCCATTCTGGAGCGCTAGCTTTCGCCCCCCCCTTGGCCTCAAGTTTATATAACTGTTTTGGAAGGCTAGAGTGGCTAGAGGCTAGAGGATAGTTTTGTAACCTACAACCATGTCCCAGACATGGATCTGGAGAAACCAAATGTTTGTCAGTCCTGAAAAGAGGGGATTCCACCTCAACCACCCAACTTGTGGTCATTTGTGCCATAGAACCTCTGAAATACTCTGAAAATACTGTACTTAAGAAAGAGCATGGGAGCCATCAGTCCGCGCGTTCTGCGGGCTGCGCTGCAGGTCTCGGCAGATCGCTCAGTCGGGGTCGACAGATCGCTCAGTCGGGGTGGGCGAAACGGTCCACGTGGTTTTCTCGAAAAAGAAAACAAATCGCTCAGTCGTGGGAAACACATATCCAACATGTTGTTGTTGAAGGGCTTCGGTTTGCTTTTTTTGCGAGTCTGCGATTTGGTGGCTTTCGACAGGTTGAGAATTGCAGATCAATGTATAGCTTGTTCCGCCCCACTGATTGGAGATGAACAAAGGGTTTGTTGAGGTGGCGGGTAGCTTTACAATGTTTGTAAGCCGCAGATACATTACACGGGGTTGTTGACGGCCGAATCCTGTCTTCCATCGGCAGCGAGAGATCCAGAGATTCGGAATCATCAGGGCTTGAAAGTTTAACGGGAAGGTAGGTGGGAAGGTATATCAGCATAATATGAATATGATACAATATCATACACCAAGATTCATGCCAACAACACATGTCCCATGTCCCATGACACCGACCTTACCCTTTCCGGTCGGATCCACCGACCTTACGGAGTGGCCTGAGGATCACCGTTCGTCCGACACCGTGCGACCGATATAGGGAATAAAAGAAACAGAATCCCCCGCTATATAGTCAGTGGTCGCCAAATAGAAACGTTTTCCAATCTATCTATTTCGGGATCTATATATATACCAACAATGTACCAGCACCTTCAAAGGGGTCACCAATGAAACCCCCAATACACTACTTAGGGATCTCCAGACAGGACACCCCTTGAAGGTCCAGGAATTATATATACAAAACTATATATTTATATAAGATATGTTTATTCCTGATGGATCGCATCAGTCCGTCTTGATTTCCGTACTACAGGGCTCCAAGTGCGTGCCTCCAGACAGGTCTCTCGACCGTCCTGACACCCATCCCGAGCCGTAGGGGTACGGAACCTGGTCTCCAAATGAAACCATGGACGTCCATGGCCATGCAAAGCAGTGCAGGTGCAGCGCCTCCAAATTGAAAGACCCCTAAGATCTTCCGGGCTTTATGAAGCTTGCGCCTACCAGGAGACCCGTGAGGCGGGGTGCCAATGGGCTACCGGGGTGTCAACCACCCCTTAGGATCCAAACAACACCCCTTCAAGGTCTCCTGGTATAGGTGCCATGGATTGGATCCACCACACCGTCCTCCGTCACCACTTCTTGCGACCTGCAGGTCTCTCAATGCCGCCCAGCATCGCGACCACCCGGAGCCTCTCGAAGCGACTGCGACCGAAGCGACCGCTGCCGGCTCTGCCCTGTTTGGGAAGGAAGACTCGGTTGGCTGCGAAAGCCGTTTTGATTGGCACCGAAATGTCCGTGCCACATACGCGCGGGTAGTTTGCTTTGTTTTTTACATAAGAGTTGGAACTCAAATTGTCGACATAGAAAGCCTTGTGCCCCAGCAGTCCGTGTAGATGATATAATTAAGGCCTTTATAAGTTTCGGATATGGTGCCTTCGAAGTGACGCTGGCAACAAGTTGCCTGAGATGGGCCACAGTTGTTTTCCGTTTTCGAGCGGCCCCTTGGTTGTCCGTTTTCGAGCGATGCACAAAGTGTGATATAAGGTGTGAAGTTCCTGACAAAAGATTGTGGTTGGGCTCATTTCTTGCAGAGTTCCATCATCCAGCTCTCTTAAATGAGACACACGCAGGTTTGGCCGTAGTCCCTCCATGTGAATCCTGTTTTGAAAACACAATGGACAATTTCATTGTCAGGAACGAGCCACGGGGACCCGTTCAAAAAGACACACAGAACTCATCTCTTCGAGTTCCATGGCATTCAGGGAGGAGGATGCCTTCCATCTACAGAAAGCACCCCGAGACTGGGATCCACTGCCACCCTGGTACTACGGTGACGTGTTCGACTCTTTGATGGGTCCCATCACCGTAACCTAGTACGAGGGTGCCAGTGGATCCCGGATGGGCACAGACAAACCATGAAACTCGAAATGAGCCTCTTACCAATCACAAGACGGGGTGGCTTTTAGAAACATCCAGTGAGTGGATGTGACAGGGGCACCCCGACTTCGTTGGGCACCCCGTTGACTGTGACTGCCGGTAGCATCTCTATAGCCCTTTCTGACACGGGCTGCTGCCCGAGGTCACCCCACCGAGCTGCCGCTGCCGCGGGACTCCCGCCCCAGACGAGCAGGCGGGACAGCACAGCACACGTGGATCGAGGGCACGTCCTGAACGATGCCTGAAGGATCCAAGAGCTCAGCTGTACACCCTCAAGACTCCAATGTCTCAAGTCATCTCAATTCTCAAGTCATCTCAGGTGATTTGTATGGAAGGAATTGCTCAAGAAAAGGTCTTTGGGCATCCCCGGGAGTTTTGGGGGCTCTCCTTCTCAACTCACCCTTCAAACTATGACGCTCCATGGCCTGGCCATAGGCCATATTTGCTTACCGTGGTGTGTTTCATTTGCTAGACGTTCATTTACGCTATGAGCATGTTTTTTGGTGGGGTCATTGTGGAGCAACACATCATGCATGTTAACGGATCAAGCATGAGAGGCGGGGACGTTTCCTTTAGTTTCTGCAATGGCATTGGGCCATCCTTAAGTATACCTCTTTTTTGCATGGCATTTGGTTGAAGGGCATTAAAAAAAAGAAAAACACAAATGAGATTCAATTCAGGAGTCAGGAGTTATATTCCATGATTCTTTTTTGTTTTGTTTGGGGTCGCTTCAGGTCAAGAATCAGCAAGGAGACCATGCTGCAAGCAGGCCCCAAGCACACTGACGTGCCGGGAAGCCTAGCTGACATGTTGAATTTTATTTTGCTAGAACACACGAGGACGCTTCGCATTCGCAAGGAGTTGTGGTTGCTTTCCTCGCTTTACAAAAAGGCTCTTTGGGCTTTTGTCAAAGGCTTCCTGAGCATGTTTGGAATTCAACAAGGTCAGACAAGTCAAATCTTCACTTTTCAAATTCCCAAAAGATTGTCCTGGCGTCCAGCAGCGAGGTCCGTTGGTCAAGATGCTGACAGCGAGCAAGCTTCCAGGCGAGCTCCAGGATTTGTCGACAGGGTGCAGGAGTGGGCGATGCTTCAACACAGCGAGAATTGTTGGGATGCGTTGTAACGAGGTCATGTTTTGGCTGGCACCTGTGCAGAGAGGACCAGCAAGTGAAAAATCCATGTCTTCGCTTCCCTGAAAATCCGTCGTGCTAGCTTGAGTCGAGTTATGATCCTTGGTGTCCTCGGTGACAAAAGGCGCAGTCGAGATGAAGTTGAAGAAGTCAAATCCAGGCTCAGCACAGGGCCCAGGGCTTGGACTCCGCGCGCGCAGCCTCTCAGCGCGCGCGCCAAGTCATCCTGCGTTCTCGAGAGACAAGATCCAGATGTTTGATGCAAAGGTTTGTCTAGAGCTGAATTGATGTTTGTCACAAGTTGTTCCTACTAATCCCACACCGTCAGACATCATTCGACATGCTGTACGAAACAACTAAAGATATACCAGCGCCCTCCAACAGGCTATTAGTTGAGGGTTGTTGGACCCCAACAGGTCTCAATTGGTGACCTGTCGGAGGGTCCTGGTATATGTTAATTTTTCCACACTTCCTTGAAAGTGTTTTGTGAGCGGTGAGCACCTACATGATGCTTTGCTCGACCTCATGCAAGGTCTAGAGGTGGGGCTGGTGCCATGGCAGACAGCGAGCAAGCTGCTTCCAGGCAACAGTCGCTGAGGATCGGGGCTCAGTATGGATCAATCAAATCGGCGAGAAAAGAGACGACCGTGCAGTTAGAGTTTTGGTTGGTACCTTTTAAACATGCGAAACATGCAGCGGTTATGTTTTTTTCTTTTTTAAATGCTGATGTATACTCATTCAGAGCCATTTCTCATGCGTTTCTCATGGGTTTCTCATGGGTGAAAGCATAACTATTTTTTTGCAGTTGCAGACTGTTCTTGAAATTGCGTGCCTGATTTTGCACAAGGCGCAGTCGAGATGAAGTTGAGCAAGTCCAGTCCAGAGTCAGCACCGGGTCAACAGCTTCTACTACAGACCGGCTCACTTCTGCTACAGCCCCGTGTGGCACCGAGGGGATGGGATTCAGAGGTTGGATGTGGCGTAGGCCTGGGCCTAGTTCATTGAACCCTTTTTGGGCTCCAGGCCCACATCCTCAGAAGGTAGTTAGACACCCCCCACCCCCCACAACGACCTTTGACCTTCTCAGGAGGGAGTTGGAGCCCTAAAGGAAGAGGACTTTCTCATGGAGTCGCTTGCTTTTCTTACCCTGGCCGCCCTCCAGATCATAATCATTGACCTGATGTGTCCTTCTCATCCGATGGTTTTCGTGTTCCTTTGCACCTGTCAGACAAGGCTGATGCTGATCAGGTTTATAAACGGGTCTTGAGTAGGCCAGGTGACAATCACTAGTAGTGCAATCAGATGCCATCAGTTGATGTTTTTTCATGTTGTTTCGTGGCCTCCTACTACTACGGTCCCGGGTGCCTTCCGAATCGGGAGTCTTTCTTATGGCCCAGCGGCCAATTTCTGAGGTCAGGGGGTCCAGCTGGTGCTGAGGAAGCCGCTTCAGCCGCTTCGCGGCCGTTGAGGATCGGGGGCAAATCGTATTGGATGAAGCGCATGAGATTTGAGTAATCCCTTGGCCGCGGCCTATATTTGGCCTTTTCAAGGCACACTACCAGAAGAGTCAGCTGAGCCAGAAGAGTCAGCTGTGAATCTTGGGTCTCATTGCATGGTATGCGTTTTTGGGGTTGGCATGCGTGATTCAAGCGCAGCGCGACCGTTTGTCGCTTGACCCTGGCAGTGAAATCATTAGCGGATTGAAAGGAGTGTTCTCAATGCTTGCTGTACTGTACACCAGGCGCAGCCGAGATGAAGCTGAGCAAGTCGAGCCCCGACTCAGCACCGGGTTGTGGGCTTAAACTGAAGACCGGTCACAGTCCCTGGAATCATCATGAAGGTGGATGGCATGACCTCTTTGATGACCATTGTCCATCCCGATGAGTGGTTTTTCCACGGGAAAATCAGCCCTGCCGGTTCGTGGCTTTTCGCAGGCGCAGCCGAGAAGAAGTTCAAGTCGAGTCCGGGCCTTTCGGCCTTTCCGCATCGTGGAACATGTTGTGACTGTTTGTGTACTTGCTTGGCGACATATAGAAACTTTTTGCCCGAAACGCAGTGACCCTGAGGTCTCTAAACACTGCGGGCGCGATGACTGAGATCTTGCCTGGACATACGAGGTGAGGTCGTGGGCGACATGGTTTTTCTGGCACGAAACAGTTTTTGTCAAGAAGATGTCGGACTTGATCTAGTTAGTTAGGAGCTACTACAGTGGGATTAGTGATGCTGAGCCCATGGGCGACGGCGACGATAAAAAGGCAATCCTCGTTGAATCTCGTTGATAAACAGTTTTTTGTGGTTCTGTTGCATCTTTTGTTTGTAATTATCTATGATTGAAATCCTTAAATGTTTGTTCAGAAGTTGATGGATTCATGACATATTGACACCGGATGCGGACGTGGAACACAGTCCTTTCGGGGCCATCCACGAAGCTACCAGGTCCAAGGCCAAAGAAGATGCTCGAGAACGACGAAGCAGTGCTGTGCCAGGGACCCCGCCGCTGCCGCTTCCCGGGGTTTCAGAGAAAGGCAGAGAAAGACTAGAGAAGACAGCAGCCCTGCCCAAACTTACAAGAGAACGCTGACTGTACCACGTGGTTGCTATACTATAAAGATATAAAAGAATATTTAGGTGTTATTGTGGATCAGGCATGACCAAACTTTGACTGCAACCTGGGCAGCGGTCTTGCATGACTTCTTGTATGACATGGAGAAGTGGTGCTTGGAACACATGCTTTTCCCAGAAAAAAAGAAAACGGGTTTGGTGCTAAAACTTGAAGCATTGGAAGGATGACTATGGCCCTTGCTAGAAGCCTGGCTTGGGAGACACTGCATCCGTTCCTCCATTTGGTATGTTTGTTTCTTATCCAAGGAGTCGAAGGTTTGAATCATGTTTTGCCTAGCCTTCAAAAGTGGAACAACGGTTCTTCTGCAAAGACTCAAAGACCATGAACACCATGGCCGTTGGAATCCCAGTGGTTTTGGTTCCTATGCCAGTGAGTATTGAAAGTGGCCTGCTTTGAAGCCAGCCCATTTCATTGATGTGTGCGGAAGGACATGTCCCAACCTGCCTATTTCTATTCTTTTTGCGGGGGGGGACGTGAAATGAGCACTTTCCCCCATATAATCAGAGCCACGCACTTGCGTTCTCCCTGACCCTAGGATGGTCTCCAAAACCCCAACCGGCTGGACGGCTGGATGCGCCGTTCCGCCCAGGTCCGAGATCCCTCCGGAGGATTTGGAGCTCTTCGACTCGAGGCGAACGCGTTCGGGACGAACGCGGCGAACGGCACGGCAGCTTGATCGACCAAGTAGTCACTCCCAGGTAACCAACTGCCAGGAAGAGACCCTCTTAAGGTTGGTTGGTTGGTTTGGAACGGATCCGGAATCCAAGAAATACTGAAACTGAGGTTTTGTGCGAATCAAAAGTTGCCGCAACTTTGGGAGACCTTGTCAAAACGGTCAAGAAGTTGTGAAGAGTGGCAGCCAATCAACCCACACAATATGGATACCAAGACCGGCTGGGCGGCTTGATTTGGGGATCGTGGACATTTGGGTGTTTCTAATTAATTATAACGTGTGTTTTGGTCTACTTTCCTTCTAGGGGTCTTTGGGAGGTCTCCCCATTTCAATGCATTGCACAGGTTTGCTTTGGGCACACCAGGGGCACTCCATCACAGTGCGGGATTTGGAGGATCCAAAGCGTGCCTCGATCTTTGCGCATGCGTTGCATTGCTTGCTCATGCGTCGGTCATCAGCCACCATCACAGGCAGCCTCATATCACTTACACAGTCAGTGAATAACCTTCAACCTGTTTGGGACATTGGCTTCCACTGTTTCATACTGTTTCCAAGGTAGGCTTTTGTCATATACATGGAGTGTTTGCGTACGCACGCTTGTTGCTTCAGTTTCCAGGCAAAGGTTGATGTGCAGGAGTTCCGTCCAAGTCACATCACTACACAGACACAACATGGAATCTAAAGTCTTAACCCGGCTTGATGTCCCGATCGCATCCCGAAATCTCTTCAGTTTGGTGGTGTCAGGTTAACGCTGATGATCACCATCCACGTGTGCCCTACCGAGCCCTCAAAATTGGCAAGTTCATTGCCTGTAGCCGGATTAGCATCCGGATTAGCTACATGTCACTCCTTGCGCCCTAGGCACTATGTGCTACACCACCGTTCCAGGTCCTGCCATCCGCTACCGCAGATCCACTGGGGCTACGGAACGGATCCCCACCCGCCATGGCTTCGACGGGGTCGCGCTTCTCGGAGACGCTGAGAGAGGCAGCAAGAGATCAATGGAATCGCGTGGTGCATCATCGATGGACGAGACTTGATGCGGTTGAAGCGGTTTTGAGCGGTTTTTTGAGGGAATGAGAATGGTCACAGTCCCAAAGCATTCATCCATGTCTATAATATTACAGCAATTAGCTAATGTACATGAAGAGGTCATTTCGATGAGGTAAATCTATTAAGTTCACCTGCTTTTTGTATTTTTTGTTCGATTGGTTGTATTTAGCCGAGTCCGGATTTGCTGAACAATCTGAAAACGACGAAAGTGTTTGGGCCCGTTGGTTTCCAAAGAAAGAATGACTCCCCTGGGCAAAGTGAAGCAACAATCGAGAGAGCAATCCTTGTTCGATGCCCATACGTTCTAGGTTAGCTTATAATTTGTTTGTGTTGTTTTTTTTTTCTCAAGGGCATTGTGCATTGCTTTTGTTCTCACCCCGGATAGTCGCTTTCGGAACAACTTGGAATTTTCACTAGACTATTTGGTGCCTTTGGTCGCTAGACTATTTGCCTCCTGACTTGGTGAGTTCTCATCCTGTGCCTTTTCCCAAGCAATCTCTAGTGCCACGTAGGCTTTTGTCCCCAGCATGGCTCATGTACCAATTCTGCAAATGGCTCGCATCATGTTGGACCTGGTGCTATCCCTAAGGGTTTACTGATTCAGATCATTTGCTGATCAGATCCAGTCAGATGGGTTCCAGTTCCACTCAGCTCGCCGACGGACGGCACTCGTAGGAAAGACTTGGCGAAGGGGACCCTGGACCTGAAGATCATGCGACGCGCCTAGGTGATGCAGGTGGCAGGGCATTCATCTGAGCTGAACAGAACTATTATATTCCCTAATCCCTACGGGGATCAACGATCGTTTTTAGGTTGGCATTTTTGTCGGAACTGAATTGAAGGTCTTACACTGTCATCCAAAGACTTAGGACCTTAGGATGTACTTGGAGACCCTTTTTTTTGCCGTGTCTTTTTTCCACCTACCAGTGTAGAACAGCCTCTAAATATATTTATAAACAGATAAAAAAGCAATGTTGGCTTGCTTCTCAGGAATTATTAATCATTGTTGGTCGGTTGAATCGCCAAATCACTAGCTCTTAACACACCAGCGTTTCGGGGAACATTGACACGCAGTCCACCGGTGGGTGAGTTCCGCGTGGGAAACAGCAATCACCAGATATTGCCATTGGCAGACTTCAGTTTGAAGACGATTGAGAGTGAGGGAGGGAGAGAGGGGGGAGGGAGGCAGAGAGAGGGAGAGAGATGTTTGTTTTCATGTGGATGTTGGTTCTTCCAAGATGTCTTGCCTTTGGCATCCGGGATGTAACAATAATTTTCATGCAAGTTTCAAGTTTGTGTTTCGCAAAGATTTATATTTGGCTCTTCATTGTTTGTAGCAACAGTTGAAGCCGGGGAGGATGAGGAACTATAGACAACCATCGCCCTCGTTCGAATGTGTTCCCTGATGTCGCTTGCAGCTCGCACCTTGCGGGGTCCAAGCCTGCCAGCAACGAGACGAGCCTCGGTGTCCCAAGGATATTTGATCCAAGATCATCGCTTTTTGGACTCCTTTGTTGAGCCTGGGCCGCAAGTATTTTTTCAGCACAAGTTCATCGGACATGTTGAACAAATTGACCTGAAAGAAGAGGTTTTTGCGGGCTTGATGTTCTTGGGGGTGTATGCATTTTTGTTACTGTGTCACGGCACCCCCCCAAAAAAAAAGAAAGTAAAACAGATATAGAGCGACCGTGCCCACACAAGGGTCGAAGTGGCTTCCACTTCGTTTGACTATGACTAAGGGATGGGCCTCCCCAAGATTTCCAAGACGCCTACCTGGATCACCTGCAGGTCACCTACCCAGGAGTTCAGTGAGTAACCTGGATTGGAAGACCACTCAAATCCAGGTCAGTGACCGTCGGACGGAAGCCGTTTGACGGTTTCCGGTCTCAACCGGAGGTCTTGCTGGCGAGCATGGTGGCCCATGCACGATGCTTGGAAGATCGACGCTTGGAGGGAGAGATGGTGCCAACGTTCTTCTCGGTACCGGGTACGACGTCCCCTTTTGGCGTACCCTTTGATTTCGCCGGTGCTGCTGGTGCTGGTGTTGCAACTGTTTATTGCACCCGGAAACCCATTTTGGAACGAAGATGGAGTGATGATCTATGCGACTCCCAGGAGTCACATGGAGTTGGCTGGTGTGGCTCGTCCCATCCAGTTTTCGTGGATGTCCTGGGCACCCCGACTACCTCCATGGATAGCATTCCTTTCTTATCCTGTTCTGGGACTCTCCAGACTCTTCGAGCTCCGAGCGGTTTGGGTGCCCAAAGGCACCCGACTGGACCCAGACTGGACTAGACCCCGCACCGAATCGGTTTACTAAGAGTTACCTAACGTGGCAGTGGACAACGGCCTGTTTGTAGAAGAAAGTAGTCATCCCAGGCATTTTCCGCTTCCATATGAGTAAGTCAGAATTGTACTCTTGACATCTCTTGACTATTCTTCATTCTTACGAGTTTCATTCCTCCCTGGCATGTGGTCCTCCTTTTGGCCCATCTCCGGTGGAGACCAAGGCATCTTCGGATGTCAATTTCTGGCCTTGGCAACTTGGAGATTGAAATGGAGATGTCGTCTTCTAGGCTTCTGTGCACATTCCTGTTTGACAGACCTCCTGTAACGAGCACGTCCTGTGGACCGCGACGGCGGTGTTCAAAGCAGCTTTCCCAGCATGGTCGAAAGACATGATCGTGGCTAAACAGCTTCAGTCTGTTGAGTTGGGCTAATCAGCGCAATCCGACAGAATTTTCTATCATGGTCCTATCAACGTACAAGATCACCCTATATGGACTCACAAGTGTACCTTGTACAGATCTGTATAGTATACAAGTCCATTTTTGACCCCCCCACCCTGATTGGAATGGAGGGGACGCGGGGGAAGCCTCATGAAGAGCTCTTGATGTGACCATTCTCCAGGTCACTGGCAAAGAGAACACCTACTTCGAGCGTTGCTTTGCTGTGCTGCCCCGATGCAAGCCAGCTGAGAGAGATACCCAGCTGAGAGAATTCACACCGACAGCGGCACGGCATGGGTCTAACCGGTGTAGTTACACTTGCCCCCTTTAAACAAGTATTCGAAAGGACAATGTTTCCGTTGCAAAAAGTGAGCATGTGTCACTTCCGTGATGGTTAGGAGGAGTGTCATTATATACTGTATTGGGCGTGACAGTGACCTTTATAGTTGTCAGACTTGCCGGACCAATTTGTTCTTGAAGGAGAGCTGGCCTTGCATTGAGTTTTCACGTGTTTCAACAGGTTGAGACACATATAGAACGTACGCAAAGGGGGACTCCACGTCGAGGTGTTCGAAATACGTCAGCTATCCGCTATCCCAAGCTTGATTTGTGGGTGGTATGCTTGCCACAGTAAGATTTCTGGTGTTCTTTCTTGAGTTTAGGTTGTGGTTTAAGACCTGCACCCCTGCAGTTCACACCCATCCCAGGCGCCTCCAATAGCTCGGACGATCTTGCATCCCTCAGAGCCCAGGAGCAAGTCCCAGATGCTTCTTGCACCAAGGGCTTCAAGGATTTGATGCTGGAAGTGGCTAAGACAGGCACCTTAGGAGAGATGCTTGCTGTTCTCTTGGCGCCTGGGATTCCGGTGGCGCATTTCAGGGGTGAGGTTGCTGTTAAGCATTTGTTTTGAGGTATAGAGATCAGATATTCGACTTGGAGTTCAGAGCAGTTTGGGGCTCGTTTGTGGCACATGTGTTCTTGAATGAAGTCTGCTGACACATTGCGGTTTGGCTCGCGCGGGTGGGAGTGGGAGAACAGAACCCTATGTTTTGGGTCATGACACAATACAGAGACACGGAATGGTGTCCACTGTGATCCCAGGGCATTTGTTCATGTTGAGGCAATCTCTGTGAGATTGAAATTGACTGGAGCCTGAGGATATGCTCTTGCGCTCATGTTTTCCTTCGCAAACCCACTTTGCCCCAGAACCCGACCTTGAAGAGGAGTCACTCCGGACTCCGTACCCTTCGCCTGGCGGGGGGGATCCCCCAACGGCCAGCCGGAACGTCGCGCAGCCCCTCGGGGCTGCGTCGGCCTTGGGGCACCGACGACGGCCTCGCATGGGCTGAGGTGTGCGAGTGGACGTACCTTTCATGGGCACAAGCCGTGGAGGAAGAGGCGTTGCGGGAGAACTTTGTGCTCTACGAGTGGATCGATTTACACACCTGTTTGGCCACCCGGCAGGCAAGAAGAAGGATCTCTTGAAGATGGGGGATTCTTTGAGTTGTTTGGGTTTGGGGAATGCTGGTGGAAAACCTGTCGGAAACACCTTCCCAACTGCTTGGTTCTGTACTAAGACGTGTGTCCATCATCCACAAGGGAATCCATCCTCCACCAGGGAAAAACGGTCCGCAAGTTGGTTGGTTTGGGGTTTGTTGCTTTGGGATAGTGATAAATTCAGGTTTTCTCCCACGGGTCCCAGGTCATGCGTCCCGAAGCTTCGAAGTGTTTGAGGTGGATGTGGTCGCCTACTTGCAGAGGCTTTTGGACAAGGAGGGGTGGAAATGGGCACGCATGAGAATCTACATCATGCGTCTCTATGACTTTAAGCAATTGTGTATTACTAGCTATATATGTTGTTTGGTTGATTGGAGGTTCTTTGCATCATGTTGTTTTTTACATTTTTTGCTTTTTGTGTGCATATATTGCCATATATATATATATATTTAGTGTGATACTAGAATTCAGAACCACTATTTGGACAGAGATTCCCAAACACAATATACAGTAACTGATATATACACTAATATCTAAACTAATGTGAATTGTATAAAAGAACCCAATTTCATGCACTTTGTCTATTTTGGGGGTCACTCTTCATGGGCTGACCCAAGTTTTCCTCGAGTGACCCGGCTTCACCCAGGAGGGTGAGCTTTTGACAGCTGCTGAGCGGCAGAGATGCCACGATCGCTTCTTGCAAGCGGTGCAGTTGGAAGAGGACTGGGAAAAAGGTGACGACGGTCATGTGCGGGAAACCACCAAAAAAACAAAAACATCTAAAAGACACAATTAACAGACACAATTCCATGCTCAGATTCAGCCACTTTGGTGCTTTTTGTTGGCTTCCGACATGAGAAGTCTCTCACTTTCTTCTTTCCGAGTGGTACATATAAGATGGCCTGTCCCTTAAATAATTATTCCATGGTCCGGGTAACCCCCAGGAATAATTTTCTGGGAATAATTTTAAAAAAATTGACCTGGAATAATTTATTTTGACTATGGAGAAACTAGACCAGGGGGTACCATGGAATAATAATCCAGACGAACCTCTGCCTACCGCAGAATATTTTTTTAAGGGAGTGCCTCCAGACTTCACAGATCGAATCAGCTGTTTTGGAATTCGTTGTGTTCGCAATGCAGAGCTGGCGAATGATTCGAGATTCTGGCTCAAACACGCCATATACCAATTTCTCACATCTTCACATTGGCCCCAGGCCCTATGAAGGCATCGCCAGACACAGCCCACCTCCCTGCACACTTAGCCCGCACTGGCCACCAGTAATGAGAAAAATATTCTGGGGTCCCCAACCCCTGTTGGACATCAGAACAAATTGCTCCTGTGCTCAGGGAATGCACCCACTGGGAGAAGCTAGGCCTCCAAGTAG